CATGAGTATTGCCCAAGAAAATAAATATGATATTAATCAAGATCTTCTTGATAATGATGACTCCGCCTCGTATAACCAAAGTGAAGAAGAATTCCAAAATATATTTTCTTATGGATTAAGTTCTACAAAGCGAGATTCATCCATGTGTCAATATTTTGATAAAACAACAATAGATAATCCAGGTTTACCTGTTTGCAAAGAGTGTAAAAAAGTATTCTCATCAGTAACTGCAACAACATCACTAAGACACCATTTAAATATATATAATATAATAGCATCAAAGCGAGGACAAAAGCTCTTAAATCCAAACCCTCATTTGAAAATAGAACAGCAAGAACAAGACAATTTGGTTGTAAGATGGATTGTTTGTGACATGCAACCATTTAGCGTCGTAGAGGGTGAAGAATGGTGAAACATGATTTCAAAATTTGATCCAAAATACCAATTTTCTAGTAGAAACACAATAAAAGATCATGTAATAAAGTTATTTCAGAACAAAAAAGATAAAGTTAAAACAACATTACGTCAAATTCCTGGTAAAGTAGCATTTACTTCTGACCTATGGACAGTATCAAACGGCACATCATTTCTAAGCCTTATAATCCATTATGTCGACTTGCTTTGGAAATTAAAATGTTTTCTTCTTGATATTATTCCAATAAGAGAATGACACACTGGAATCAATATCACTAATGCAATAATAAATGTCTTGAATAAACACGATATATCTAAAAAAACTCTAGCTCTAACTACGGATAATGCGTCTTCAATGATTTTGTGTGGTGAGCTTATAGTAGAAGAACTTGAAGAAAATTTCAATAATTTCGATTTTTTCCATTATAGATGCGCAGCCCATGTGTTGAACTTGGCAGTCAATTAGGGAATCGATTTGATTGATGAATCGATTGTCAAAGTACAATCTTTGATGTCTTATATCAAAGCATCGCAACCAACAATTAATAATTTAAAAAAATTATGTGAAATAAAAGGCATTAATTATTTGGCACCAGAACTAGACATAAAACACAGGTGGAATTCCACATACTACATGCTAGATAAGTGGAAAAAAATGGAGTCTCCTTTAACAATGTTTGCAGCTGACGATCAAATAGTTCGTCAAAAGTTTCCAGACAAAAATGATTGTGCTAACATTAATGTATGTATTTTTTTTTTTTCTATTTGGTTTTTTTTTTTTTAATAAATTAATAAATCAGATAAAATA